GTTTGCCAACGGCGCCCTCAGACCCCTGCGGTGGGAGGGATGTGGGGAACGAAGACCTTGGGCAAGCTTTTCCAAAGCTGCCTTGGTGATGCTCACCCCTCCGGTGTGTTCTGCACCCCTCTGGTTTGGCAGGGGAGCATGGGGGGTGCTCTGGCTGCCCCCCCTCCCTGCCCCTTCCCAGTGCTGGACCACGGCGCTGGTGCTGAGTGGTGATGTCTCTGTGCTCTGCTCCAGAGGAGGAGATCAACAACATGAAGCGGGAGCTTGAGAAGTACGGGCTGCAGCTGCCTGCCTTCAGCAAGATCGGGGGCATTTTGGCCAACGAGCTCTCGGTGGACGAAGCAGCAGGTAACGGGCGCCCGCGGGGGGCTGGGAGCGGTGGGGTGGGATCTCAGCCCAGCCCCCGAGGCGCTGCCTCTTGTCTTGCCGGCAGATCTTCCACCCGGAGACCACCGACATCTACGACAAGAAGAACATGCCCCGGGTGGTCTACTGCATCCACGCGCTCAGGTGGGCATCCCTGCGCCGGCCCCGGGGGCCAACGCTGTCGTCGTGGTTCACATTCGTGCTCATGAGCCTTTTCGGGGGTGTCACCCCCCCCCAGGGCTGGGGTGACACCTTTGGGTGCTGCAGGGGTGGCGGGGAGGGAGAGGTGGGTGACTGCAGGGTGACCGCAGGGTGATGGTGTGTGTCTGCTTCGTCTTCCAGCCTGTACCTCTTCAAGCTGGGGCTGGCCCCTCAGATCCAGGACTTGTACGGGAAAGTGGATTTCACGGGTATGGCACCAGGGGGGTGGCGTGGGGCCTGGGGTGGGGGCTAGCGAGGAAGGTTTGCCAACGGCGCCCTCAGACCCCTGCGGTGGGAGGGATGTGGGGAACGAAGACCTTGGGCAAGCTTTTCCAAAGCTGCCTTGGTGATGCTCACCCCTCCGGTGTGTTCTGCACCCCTCTGGTTTGGCAGGGGAGCATGGGGGGTGCTCTGGCTGCCCCCCCTCCGAACGCCGGGCTGCGCCTGCCTGCCTTCAGCAAGATCGGGGGCATTTGGGCCAACGAGCTCTCGGTGGACGAAGCAGCAGGTAACGGGCGCCCGCGGGGGGCTGGGGGGGGGGCGGTGGGATCTCAGCCCAGCCCCCGAGCGCCAAACCTGGGGCCAGCAAACTGAGAGATGCTCCAAGAGGTGCAGTGCTGGAGGCATCTGGCTGCTCTCCTTCATCCTGCAAGCTCCTTCCCAGCCAGCAGCACCCTGGGGTTTTGCATTTAGAGATGCCGACTACACACATTTTAGAAGTGTTTTTTCACATTGAATAATTATGAATTAGTACAAATCATGTGAGGATGTCTTCCAAAGTATTCATTGTGCATGAGGGTTGCTAATAGTTAATTACAAAAAAAAATTACATGATACTAAAAACTAAACTGGAAAATGAATATAAAATAAATGAGATATATCATACTGAACATTTATTAGCTTGTAAATTTACTAGATCAAAAGGTCTCATTATATCTCAAGCTGGTAGCAGAACATATTTGAACTTATGTTTAGCTTTTCATAGACTATTAGGGGATTTGAACAATAGAAGTAGATTTGAAAGAATGTACGTAGAAGAGGATGGTTATCTAATAAATATAGGAATAATGGAAGAATTACTTAGAAAGAATGTCTAACATAAAAGCAATACAGGCATAACATAGTACATGGGTTGAAAAAAGGTTCCCAGCTCTAAAAAGAAAAGATTTAATTAGTTATTTAGATGCTTAATTTGATATACCCCTTGTCTACCAACCTCTGCAGCAGCACCAGCATGTGAAAAGTACCGGGAGCTGACATGCTTTATGGCAAGAAATGGAGAGGGGGAATGTTTTGGTACTCTGAAGTTATTTAAATGCCAGCATACATGCACATTCACTCACTTTGCTCATAATTAAGAACGTTATCTGCACACTCCTCCCCCCCCCCCCCACCCAACAAAAAAAAAAAAAAAACCACACAAAGAGAGAAAGAAATGGCCAGTGCCAAGGAGAACAAGTTTAAGGAATTTTGAATGTATGTAGACAGGCACGCAGCACTCTCCGTTATTACACTGTAAATCTAAAATAACTTGATTTTGACACAGTTTCTACGGATTTGTATCACTGTCAGAGAACAGGCTCTACCTCGTACGAAGCTTTTCGAACCCAAAGCAGCTCCAGGGCACCTTTAATTAAGCTCAGAGGCACACTCTGCGCACAGGGAGGCTGAGGCCAAGCCGGCCCAGCCGAGG